GATTTGAAACAATGCCATAGTAGAATTTTTCTCTCTTTGATTATCATTATGGCCCTACATATTTTGTACATATTATTTTATCATTTTTATTAATAATTACTCCAAAAAAATGTAGACATACTTCATCTCATATAAAAGCAAAACATTTGAAAAAAAATTCCACTTTAAAGCCACAATCAAAAACCTCAATGGCAAGAAGAATTGAATACTTAGACCAATAATAGAAAAAAATATATCTTTCATTAATTTAAGTCATATCTTATAATTTCTAACACATTATAAGAAATTATTCAAGCTTAATTCATACACTTTAATGTTATTATGGATATCATCTAATGCCTCTTTTTTAAAAATTAACTTCTTATATGGCTCTTGATGAAGCCATTTCCATATCAATTATCATCTTGAATTTTTTATTATCAAAATTAAGGCCAAACAAGATTCCAAATAAATTATTTTTTGACATAAAATCCTTTGTAAATCACCTTTGCATTTTTGGAGCCATTGCATATATTTATAATCTTGTTGTTTGCTGATGTAAATTGAATCTATATTCTTGGTTATGCATTTTATTAAGCTATAATATCAAGGTCAAGAAACATTGATATTTTGATTTATCTAATAATTAAATCATTATCTTTGATGATGTTCAGATCATAAAAGATGAATTGATAATTCTAGAAGCCAAATACTTAGTATTTTTTTCATTTATGGAAGGACCACTATTGAAAATTTCAAATTCTATGGCGTTTGCCTTAACCTTATGCATTATGCTTATTCTACAAGATCTTCAATACAATAACTTATACCATTGTCTAACATCTCCAAAATTTATACTTCCATCTTCCAATATGTTCCATGATGCCTCATTTGATGATACCATCTTTTTCTTGGTTCCACAGCCAACAGTTGCTATATTGCTCAAACCACCAATACAGCATTGTTGCTCTACTCTACCATTTGCATTATTAATACAACCAACTATTATATCCTCTATTGCTTCTATACTAACAATTCTATTTTTTTAATAATAATTTCAATAATTAAAATGACCTCTATCTAGATTTAATGGATACTTTGTATATATTCAAATTTTTACCACAATAATAGGAGAAAAAAAAATCTTTTGTAGAAGCTATTCGAAAGCCTAATTAGCAATAAGCAATAAAGTCCAAATTATAATCAATACACAAAAATTAGATGTGGTCCTTAGTATCCCTATCTTCAAGTAAGATTCATATTGCTACTAATAATTGTTCAAACTCACCATATAAATGTCCAAACTTCCATTATAAATAGATACCTCAAAGAAGAAGTCTACCTCTAATAGCCTCTTCAATTTGTCATTTTTGGTTGCAAGCATATAGTCTATTGTTTACATCATGTACTATATGCACTTAAATAAAGTCCTCGTGCATGATATTTTTTAATAGATAAATATTTATACACTCAATATATGCTTTGTTCTAACATTAATTTTAATGTAAACTATTGATATGACATATTTAATATAGCTATCTTATTATTCTATATTGATAATATAAAGATCACAAAGAGCTCATTGGATTTCATCACTAAGCTTAAAATGCAACTCTACCTCAAATTTTCTATAATAGGCTTAAAAATTATTTATCAATTCTTTGGCATCAAATATACCAAAGACAATACAAGGCTTTTACAACACTAAATAAAATATGTCTATTAGCTTCTTAAAGAATTTTAGATAGAAACATCTAATCCTCCTAAATCCCAATCAAACTGTATTAAGATATTGGCACTTTGTCTTATAATGCAAAATTATATTACCACTCATACTATAATTATCCAACTCTATTGATTGACCAAGACTTGCTTGGATATAGCTTTTATTGTCCATCTTTGCAATTGCTACACAAATGCACTACAATATACATACCTTCAAGCTCCTTGTGACATCTTGTACTACATCTGCAAGTATCTTTTATTTGATAACTTTTACAAAATTGGAAAAGAAAGTTGTCTATCGGATTTTTTGGATGCCGACTTTGCACAAGACCTTGCTGATTGCATTTTCTACCAAAGAATACCTATTCTTTCTCAAAAGCATGCCCTTCTCATGGAATTTCCAAAAACAAACATCAATAACAAGCTCATCATTTAAATTTGAGTATTGTGCACTTGCAAATTACATATGGGAAGTAATATGACTTTGAAGACTATTGCAAGAATTATAGATCTTAGGTATAGGACCAACCATCTTAGGATGCAACAAGCAAAGTAGAATTGAGATTTCACACAATCTTGTATTTTATGATAAAATTAAACATTTTGAGACAAATTGGCACTTTATTAAGTAGAGAATAGATTCACAAACAATTATATGAATACTCAAGAACAACATGCGCATATGCTAACCAAAGCATTGGGATGCACCAAGTTCGAACTAGGCAGACTCAACCTGCACAAGGTCACAAACGAACTTCCTCCATCTCCAACATCGCTTGCTCAGCATTAGAGGGGGGCTTGTCTTGCCTTAGCAGCCTGATTTGTTCCAGGTCGGGGGATCGGATGATCCTCAACTCTACATGCCAACCAATCAAAGAGGTTTCTGAAGAACACCAAGAAAACCCAAAGAGCCAGAAGTAGTATGAGACAAGGAGTCTCCCCTCTAAGCTCCGGCAACATGTCCCTAGTCCTGTGAAGACACACTAGAAGACCAAGCTGTGAACAGAAGGGGGTGTTGGAACCACTGTTCACATCTTACCCTTCTCGTCCCAGTTAACCTAATCTGTTACATTTTGTCGTTTAGCATTCCGTTTATGAGTATTTAGCTTGAGGCTATACCCCTCTGTTCTTTGTGCTGCTCTGTCACCTACAAGGATTTTCTGGTTGACAATCGTCGGCCGCAGGTTACGCTCCACCCGCTCCACCGCATAATTGGTCGCAACGACCACCTTAGAATCATTCGGGCTGTTGATCAGACAATAGATTACGGCACGTTTACAAGCACCAAAATTCTTCACCTGAATCGATTTCCAGAATAACACTTGCAAAAACCTCATCTCTTGCAATTTATATCTCTCCACCTTAATCACATACATTGTTTCCATCAACTGTCTTCGAATCGGAATCCATAAATCCATGGATCCATTGGTTTGCTGCAAAGTGAAGTCTTCGATCATGAGTTCGAGGATGGATACATTTTTAAAGAGCTGAAACACTGCAGGCGGGATCTATGAGCGAGCAGTCAGCAGTAATCGATCGCCGCACACGCAGGTGGGGCATCGACATTTCATTAAATCACAGGGCTGTTCGCAGGTGAAGTCTCCCGCACGCAAATGCGCTATTCAGAGTTCCTCGTCACATGGGTTACCGTGAAGAAATGTGGGTTAATGCCCAAGCTTGTCAGCTGTATTATTAGAGACACGACATCAGAGAACCTCCACAGCACCACTCCCCAGCAAGGATGTACAACCTCCCAGCCCACATCACAACTCCATAAAATGCCGTTTCTGCAACTCATACTTCTCCTAGTCCGACCTCGCACCTCCAGACAAGCTCCAAAACCCACTACAATCCCATGCAGACTATGCTACAGAAAAAAAATAAGAAAAAGGGAGTCTTAGAGAGATGTGATGGTGTGCTGGAACCCCTAAAAGAAGAAGCCGACGTCGACGACGAAGAAGAAAAGATTGCACTGTTCATGCCTCGTCCCCCCACTGTGTTGGGGGCACTATTGGTGGCAGGAAGTTGATGAAACGCTCGGCTATGGCACCCTGCACTCGAAAGTCAGAGAGAGCGAGAGAGATCATTCACAAAATAAAATTACATTCCAATTCAATGGAAAGTTATAATTCATATACACATACACATGAATCAATTATATTTTGCAGTGTTTAGCTTGTATATATTCCTATTTTTACAATGGAATACTGTTAATGATATCACCAGTTAATTGATGCGATTGCAAGTTAGACGTTTAAAGCCATTCAATGTGTTAAGAATAATACCACAAAATATGCCTGTTTTCTATTTTGTCTTTTTAGAGAATAAATCTGTATTTGATTATATATTTTAGCATGCATATCAATATGAAAACAAACAACAGAAATAGATGTTACGGTATTGTTCAAGAAGGCTGCATTTTACAGCATCTTGTTTTTCATGCTCTGCTGTGGTTGTTTCATTGTCAAGGTTGACAAGAAAAGTGATGGTGGTGATGCTATTATTGTTAGTGGAAAAGGAGGATTTAGAGGAATCACCCACATCCATGTCCCACCAGGTGATACTGCTCAGCAATTCCACGTTCCCCCTCCCTACCCACCAACATCCAAATTCTGGTGCTTCCATGTGTTCAAACCCTAACCCCTAAGACCTAGTCGCAGATCTTGCGGCAAAATCAAGTCTTAATGCAAGAGTTCTGTTTAAGTTACCTATGGGAACCTCGAATCACTTGTTAGGTAAAATTTGTCGTCTCTCTTCGACTTGTATTGCTCAGAAATGATTAGGTCTGCCTGCAAATCTCTTCTTCGCCAGTAGTCTGCACTCTGCAATGCACAATACACTCAGTAAACTCCTGAAAGTGGCAAATCTAACCACGATACCGTTGGGCTGATACTCCAAATAGACTTACGATTGCATTGCTGTGCAAGCCACTGGCACAGCAATACATGCTAAAAATATAGCAATCATTCTCAGCTCTAATTTCCAACTTGAGTTGTTTACGTGGACTGTGACTGTCTTGATTTCCGGTAAATACATGGAGAATCTAGGCAATGGATTTCTTCTGATTACTTCGAAAATAGTGGAGGTTTGAATTGTAGTTCTCGAGAGGAGTAGCATTGTCTATTGTGAGGTTTGCAACCTCTGACAATTGTGTTACGGAAGGATTTTTTCATGAAGACACATGCCACATCCGATGTTAAATTGCAAGTTTTTAAAAAGAGTCAGCCAGAATATCAACCAGGAACAAGGCCATCCATTCCATCAACAATCTGCGATTGTAAACCGAAGTCTGACAGTTATACAAATGCTGCACACAATTTGTGTGCGAAGTAATAACATTAGATGCAAGAGATATTCACAGATTCCGAATGTACAATTTCCTCATCATAATAGTTCTGGCAAAACTGTGCTATCTATTTACAAGCCTCTAGACAGCGTCAAGATCTCCCAATTCAGTCTAAGTGTTTGCGGCATAAACATAGTTGACTAAGTGGCGAATCAGGTTGGGTTCCAAAGGTCCCAAACAGTGCAGGGATCATCGTTAAGCAGCTGCTGGGACACATTGCTCCGCTTCAGATTTCCTCTGGTCGTCAACGATGCTACTCAAGGTTTTGGAGGCACCAAACGAGAGCTGCGACACAAGTCGACAAGTTTTGGCAAAACTCGACGACGTGGTTCGTCTCAGATTTCCCATCCTATTCTCGACATCACTCAAATAGGGTTGAATGGCGCTCATAACCATGCATACCACCAAGGAGCGCCGCTTCATGGGCCGAGGCTTCGTCCTACCCGTCTCTTTCAAGTACTTCTGCCCATCCACCACATCTGCTATTACCGAGTTCACGGATTCCAAAAACTCGCAGGAAGACGAGAGTGGGCTTTCGTTCTCGTCATCATCTTCGTTCAAGTCCTTCTTCATGTCATCCTGCTCTACATCAGCCATGAAGTTTCCAGGGAACGACGTAGTAAGAAAAGCATTCGTAGCCGAGACAGGTCGCGATGTTTTTCGCACAATCGCATCTCGCCGTAGCATAGCCATACTCCTAGGAGATCCCACGAAGCATTCTTGATGAGAAGAATCCAGCAAATCACCGTTACAACTACAGCTCGAGTCTTTCCGGAAGCTGGAAGAGAGTAGCCTACAACTCGCTTGTGCACTAGTTGCAGCCACAACACCCATTGCCGCCATCACCAAAACCTCGAGAAAGCACAACAACACTGAACCCAAGAAAAAATCTAGACAAAAACAGCCGTCAGCTCCAATGTCACCTAGACATGGTTCACCTTCTCACGAATGAGAGTGTATCTGATGAGGGAGGTTGAGGAATTAAAACCATGATTTGTAAATCTCACACCTGCGCCGAGACGAGGGGGTCGACAAATATACAGTTGGGAGAAATCACGAGATGCTTCTGTTTCTTACAATTCCTCTGGGTCCCACTTTGCGGCAGTCGCCATTTGAGGGAGCTGGCATTCTGGTTTATTGCCATGTATAGTGGACTCACCTGACATGGAGGCGAGGTGGATGGCCATCTGTAAGGTCAGCCGAATCTAGCGTTTAGATATTTCGGAGTAACTGTCCAGTTATCGTTTTTTTAGCACAGAGATGCTTCTCTCACAAGTTTAATGCACACCTCAGAGATGAGTGAGGAAATCGTATTTGCTTCCATGAAACTGGTCTTTCTTTCATCTTTACACCCTCTTGATCTCTCACGATCTTAGACTATTGAAGTTCCCTCTGCCGGTGCCACTTTTGATTCATTGAGCCACTGTGGAGTTGGAGTAGTTTAGACAAAGAAGATACTTAATTATCATATACATGAGGATATAGAAAAAACAATTGCTTCTTTTATTAAAAAAATAATGTGAGGTAGAAACATATCTTTGATGGCTCAATGTGAGGCAAAAACATTGTCTTTTTGTCTTTGGAAATGGTTATTCTAGTCTTAATATTATACCATTTTTGAATGCTTATCTATTCTTTTCAAGTGACACAAGAGTATATTGACTCTTAGGTTCTTTGTGATTCATGTCCTTAACATTAAGTTGTTTTGAAGTTGTGACAATCTCAATTTGTTTTATAATAACTTAGCAAATAAAAGTTTTTAAATTAAATTTGCTAGTTGTTGATTTTCATCTTTTTAGTGCCACAAATACACAAAAACTATGAACAAAGATAGAAGATTGAATGCAATCTTCACTTAACCTCATTTTCTTTAAAGCAAATGAGGTTAAGTGAAGATTGCATGAAATCTGAGACAAATTTTATTGGATGTCATTGATCAAAAGCATCCACCTTCTTTATTTCATTTGCAAGATTCTTACCTAGGTCATATGTGCATTCATTAATATCAAATCTATACTAATGTGTAAGATATTTTAACCTATTTTGGTATTGCCTTGAGTCTAAAACCTCTTCCACCTCAAATTCTTGATTATTATCCATTCATATATGAGAATGTATTGCATAAATAATAAAATATGGCCTTTCTTTTATAATATGTATAAAAGCTCTTATTGCTATAAATAAGGATTTTGTTGTATTAGACTTAGAACTTTGTACTTAGTTATCAAAATTCTTGATTATACTATAAAAAATATCAAGATTATAAGAAGTTCAATTTATTTAAGGATTATATTTTTTATTTTTAATAAATCTGAAATAATTAGATTAAAAAAATATCTAATAATATTGAATATAACTAAATTATTATGACCATTTGTTGTAACTTCTACATAGATAGTCTTATTGGTATCATCTCTAAAAGACAAAAGGCAACCATCTATGACTTCTATGCATAATTTTTTTAATAATTTTTAGGTCTTAAACAAACATCAATTATATAACAAGGTAAAGGTTTTGAGGAGAAATTAGGACCTTCATTAGGTATTGCACGAGATTTTAATTGCATGGTCTCTATTGTAGCTAGACAAATTTGTTTTTTGATACATTGTCTTTATCAATAACCATGCTTATCTTTTGTCATTGCAATGCTTCTTTATATAATAGAAAGAAATATGTTTAGATTCTCTACAATACAAGCATAATTATATTGACAATGTCAAGCCTTTTTTTTGCTTAGTAAGAGATTTAAAATGTATTGTATTAATTTGCTTAGGTTTTGATCTTGATGAATAAGTTTATAAAAACTTAGGAATTGTTGCCATGACTTGATTTTTTTTGTCTCTAACCAAATTCTTGAGCTAAAATAAGAATTGAAGAAATGCATTGGTAACAGTGAAAAAGGCCTCACTCTTACCCCTATATATATTATTCAACTAAAAAGTTACATAACAATGTTTTATAGATCATCCAATACGTATGCAACTTGCGGGATTTATTGGCCAAGTTTTCAATCTATCAATCATCTATAAATACTTGTAAAGTCAAATCTCTATCTTCAAAGCTTTTAAAAAGCTTCTCCATAAGATATTATCAAATTTATTTATCTTTGTTTTTACCTATTTTCTCTTATTCTCCTACTTATTAATGCCAATGTTGATGTTTGTGACATTATAACACTTGAATATATTTTTAAAATATTGTTGAAGATATGATAATAGATATGAGATCTTTGTTTTTTATTTTTTTTAAGATTTATTCTTTAATTATATATTTTCCAATGTAATAGTTTATCAAAACATGTTACTTATTATATATTTGTCTAATGTAATACAATTTATTTAAATTTAGTTTAGCTTTATCTTTTTTTCCATTAAGTTATGTGATTATGTTATATCAAATCTCTTAAGACACTAGATCTTATCAATATTGATATATGTTTGATTATTAAATTTGATCAAAAACTATTATAAAGTCTTCACAATTTATTTATTTTTTCTTATCTTCAAAGTATTTTTTTTTTTTTTTTTTTGTATATACTATTTGATTAAATTGTGCAAATTTGATGAAGTCTAGAATTAAGTATTTCTAACTTCTATAGTCAATTTATTTTTTAAAAAATATATTTTTTATTTCTTATATTTTTTAATAATATATTTGGATTAATTATTCTTAAAGATGGATGTTATCTACCTTCCAAATCAATTACAATGTGGAAGTAGAAGTTAATTAATTAGATTTACAAAAAAAATTCAAAGAACTACCTCCAATTTTTTGACAAATTATTTTCTTACTATTGTAAATCCATCTTATATGTATTTAAATATATGTATTTTAAAAACAAATTAGTTTGATTTTGCTTCAATGATGGAAAAAATGAATTAAAGTTTATCTTCCTCTATTTTAATATAAAACATCTGTATATAATTTTAATAGAATTTTGCAATTATATAATCCTAATTGTTTCTGTATTTATAAAATTAATTGATGATTATCATGTGCATAGGATTATCATATGCATAGCATATCCAAAAACAAAAATTGAAACTAAAAAAAAAATTTAAATACTAAATCCAAAAGTTATCGTTTTATATAGCTAATAATAACTATAAATATATTTAAGTATTATATTTATTTTTTTGACAATAATCAACTTTTCTTCAAAAAAAATGATTTGGATTACAAAGCAACAAATCCTCAAAGCTATAAATATATCTAAGAGAGAATACTTCTTGCATGTCAATGTTTTTCAATTGTGTACTTATTACATAATCCCATAGTTATGTTTTTTTTTTCACAAATTAGTTCACTCAAATCTCCTATTCTCTCACATCTGACTTCCAAAGAACAATTTGATGTATCTACTCTAATTGTATGTTTTGATATCATTGGTGTTGTTAGATGTAAATAGAGTCCCTACTTTCTTTGTACAAAATTTGTGTAATTATTGTAATAAATTCTAGTTGCCAAAAAAATTGATTAGCTACTTATTTCAATTTTGACTCCAATTTCTTCTAAAAAAGAAGAATAAGAAGAAAAAATCATGCTGAATAGAATTGATCTCTTTATAGTGACAATCAAATATTATTGGTTTTCAATGCTAAAATCAAAGGGATTGAGAAGTAGCTTATACAAAGTTGTATTGAGATCTATGAATAAATCTAAGACAATACTACCAATCCACCACCCCCCTTACTAGTATCTCAATGGGCATGAAAATTGAATGTATATACATATATATATATATATACATGTTTCATACATTGTTCTATCCAAATAAAATCTCTAGCTTGGCAACCTCATTACATCGCTATTATCAAGAAGTACATTGTGACGTGTCACACTCTCAAAATTAAACAAATAGAAAAGATAATATATGTATGTATATATTTTATTTATTTATTTACTTTGTTTGCGTAAGTATTGACAAGGCAGTCGTATTGTGTGTGTATTGGCACGTTCTGCAAAGTTCACATTGGTACGAGTCCAGACTAAATCCGACTGATCTGATTAAAAAGTTGAAGTTAATTGCAGAGTGAGTACTTCGATGTGTCCTGGAAGGCTACGCCAATGCCTCCTTGTAGTGCCAGATTCCTGCGCTCAGAGTCTCATCATCAGCATCAGCATCATCATCCAGGTTTTGTATGTCATCTGTCTGAAGTTAAAGCTTGGCTCCGTTGTGGGCACCTTCATCCAAGAGTTGAACTATCTCTTGCACCTCCGAAGGTGTTTTGTCATGATCGTCACGTACTGTCTCCAGCACTGTGTTGATGAGGGGCTCGACCTTGGCAATTTCTTCCAAGTCTTCTTTTTGTCCAGGTTTTTATCTGTGGAGTGTTTTCGAGCGCCTTGTTGACGTTCGTCAGAGAAACCTCGTTAGAATCTCGTGTTTTGCTGAACATCACCGACAGCGTGTCCCGGTGGACCTTGTCGTTGAAGCAGAAGGGCGACAAATGCCCCTCTCCCAGAAGCTCATGGAGATGCACTAAGTCAGGGATCTGCCATTGGTACATCACCAAGTATGCACTAAGATGTGGAATTGCAGAGGCAATAACATATGTCTGAACAGGATAATTAATGCATTGCAAAGACAAATATATAAATGGTAATTCACTGACCCGCTTTTTTATTAGACGTTGGAGAGAAATAGGAACGAGCCAATCTTGGTCGCCTTGCCAAATGTGCAAGGGGCCGTGGTACACCCGCTGGACATCCGATAGCCCGAAACCCCAGTCGCCAGTTAAGAGTTGCAAATCTTGCGCCATGCCAAACCCATCCTGCTTCGCCGACTCAATACTATCTCTGAAAGCACAACACCCTACGTTACAACCTGCGTACATGTCGATTCAACAAAGTGAATCGCAGGCTCGAAATCGTCGTTACCTGCCTGAGCATGGTGAGGATTTGAATTACCTGAACATAAGACCCGATGAGCCATTGGCTGCAAGGTTGTGCTGATCCGGGGGAGACAGCTGCTTCTTGGCGCTTGCTACCCACCGTGCTCCCACGGTTCGGACCACCACATGGCGGACATAGGCGTAAACCATCCATTGTGGTACCTGTCTTACCAACAGAAACATGAGCCTTGATCCTATCGTTATCTCTGCCATCGCCGCCTTTCGTTGCGTGTCTGTGAAGTCCTGGTGGCCACATCGTACTCCACACATTTCAATCATCTTCTATTCTAAACAACCCAATTCTGAAGGCGTTTGCGAACTCTCGATTAATGGAAAGCAACAAAACGGTGATCAATTCACTACCATTGATCGATTGCTCTTCAAGACTGTTACCTTCCACCAGTAATTCCCCGCGGGCGCCCACATGGCTATCCCAGCTATACGCTCGGGAATATAACGTGCCGCGCCCCAACAATAAGCACCTCCACAAGAGTACCCCAACAGCCATATCCTTTCTCCCAATTCCAATATGTCGGCAATGTTTGCTATGTCGGCAGCTGCGGTACTGAACGATTGTTGGGGATTTGGGGTGCTTAAGCCATAGCCAGGCCTGTCGATGGCGATCAATCTCACGCCCATCTCCTTGAGCAGATCCTCGGAGACTCCTAAAATCATAAAAAAGATGTGGTTGAGGAACCGAAGACAATCACATATTTTCAGATTGCATGGCCTTACTGCATCACACAAGCACACAGGGTTTGCGACTGATTGCACCTGGCATACTGGCAAGGCGTGAAGACCCCAGGCCGTGGAGCACCAGCAAACTCCGAGTGGCACTCTGCTTGGGAAGGCCTTGCTCCCGGTACGAAATTTTCCGCCCATCTGGCAACTGAAGAAACTTACCCTCCTTTTCCATCACAGCATCGATCAGCACTGAAAACGAAAAACAAATCAGAAAAATGCCTGAATCACATTCACTTGACACCTTATGCATACTGGGAAAACCCCGATGTACAGTATATTTGTGCATGTAATGCTCAAATAGTCGTTGATCGTGAGCTTAAAATCACTCAGCGTACAGAGTACACGAGGATACTGATTGGAAACGCTCTAGAAGCGCAATCTTCTCGTGCTCCGGTGCCAGTCACTTCCATCAAGAATTGTGTTACCACGTCCATCAGGAACTGCTAACTACTTTTCCGAAAAAATTCATCTATTACTTCGAAGTATACTCACTCTTTCAAGTCCCTGGAATGAATAGATTTGGGAGAGTTGAGTGCAATGGTGATCTCTGAAAGGGAGAGCAGTTGGAGCTGAAATCCACACGCAATCGATGATGGTAGCTCCTTCAGCAACGATCCTGAGAAGAAGATAATTTTCTGGAGTTGGGTGCTTCTACGAGGCGGTGGTCAACTGTGTGAGTTTAAACCGGCGGAGACTCAGGTGCTGCCGCGACAAAGTGGATATAGCACCGAAAAGTTGACTTATCCGAATACAAACCACGGCTACATTGCTATACTGCTTATAAAACGAAGGCCACATTAGTCTATCCACTGTTTCTCCTTTGAAAACTGGTTAGAGTTATTATCAAGTAAAGGACTACACCTGCTCCATCACAGCACGACTCGTTCACAATGTATATCAGAGAATTAAGAAAACATTAGGAGCATATCGCGCGTCTTCATTTCTATTTCGTGTATGGTCTTCTTCGCTCCCAATTAATATCAAGGATGCAGACGGTGTTGCCAATTGTAACCGATTGAAAGGTCTGAGATATTGGTGACGAGACTTCAGTGTAGATAGTGCGGCACAGCTTATAGAATCAAGCTTTAACATGATCCTTAATTCTGTTGAAATAGAAAGAGTTCAACATGAATCTGCCCGAGACATGACGAGTTATCACATGCGAATCAAACAACTAGCACACGGACTTGGGCAAGCAAAGCTTTAACTACTCAGTTCCTGTTGAAAATACTGAAGTTTCAGATAATACAGATGGGTCATCCCAGAAGCCATTTCGCAGTCTGGACGGCTAAAAATAAGTGTGACTAAGGTAATTTTTCTCAGCTACATTTGAGCACCGCAATTTTGGGTTAAAATGGAGTTGCTAATCCTATTAATCTCTCACATCTTCATAATCTCCAGTTACCCTGTTGTATCGCAAAGTTGCTTCACCAATAGTGCCAGCCGCCTTATTGCGAACTTTCCTCACAAGCACTTTTACTTGGTCAAGAGGTCCCGCGGTTTCATCACGGTTGCGGTGAATGACAATACCATTATCACACTTGTTGATGAAATGGGCGCTGCCACTAATATCATACAGACCAGGTGCTTCACCTCTCCATACTTGCAATTGCCTCGGATGTGCAACGAACCAGACATGACAATCATGGTGCTGGGCGAACCGCTTGATTTTTGTAAGCATTTGACTGACATACTCCGTCTCGGTTTGATTCCCAGGTCGCTGATGATCAAGCTCGTTGTAAGGGTCAATAACAAGCCCACGAATTCCATGTCTCATCACAGCGGCCTTCGCAAGATTCAACACCCAGTCCACGGAGGGAAGCTCTTCATCCTCATGTCTGATCAGGAAAAAGTTATCCTGCAACCATTTCTTCCCCTTTTCCAGATCCTCTTTATCCATTCGTGGGGTAGAATTTGCATAAGGCGCGTCAAAAAATGGTTGATGAATATACTTCTCTATCAGCTTCCTGGCATGCTCACGCACCTTGTTTTCCATTGAGCAGAGACCGAAAGTCCACTTCTTGGATCTATTTAGATTACAAATAAGTGCATCGATCCACTCACTTTTGCCTGAATTCGGAACGCCTGTAACAATAGTGAGTTCGCCAGGTACAACCCTGTAAATCTCGTCAAGGCCACGCCAGCCAGTTGAGACCCCTCGCTCATCGCCCAGGCGAAGATAGTAGTAGTCGTCTATTTCCCTAAAAAACTGTTGAAAGTTAAACAGCCCCCGAATAGGATATAATTCTGCACTTTTGATGAGGTCCTTCACAGCGTCTGGTCCTAAAGACATGAGTACCTCGTTGGCATCCTTGCACTGTTTCCCAGACTCATCTTCAGGCCACGTGACCCGCCAGCAACGCTCTCGCCCAAGCCTGCGTGCAAGCTCCTCTGCCAATGCTTGTCCAGGCTCATCGGCATCGGTGGCTAAGATGATTCGTGTTGCATTCTTGAAGTAATCCTTACAGTTCCACAAGTACTCGTACTTTTTGTCTTCATTTGGAGGGGGGAGCTCGTCTCCTGAAACCTTAGCTGGAGCGCCGTCAGGAACACTGACACAATTAACGATGCCTGCTTCATACATCGCCAGCTTGTCAAATTCTCCCTCCACAATTACTATCTCCCTACTATCCTTAATATGATCCAATCCATATAATACCTTCGGCGCGTTTTTTACTTGCCAAAACCGCTTGTTACCGTCTCGAAATTTGCAATTCAAAATCTCTCCGTCCTGCACATAAGGAAAAGCAATTGCGAGGTCTGTGGTGTTCGCCCAGTGCTGTGCCACATTGTTTTGACGAACAGTTTCTTCTGACAAACCCCTTTTTTTGAAGTAACTCAGAACTTTGTCTTGCACTACCTCCAGCCCAAGACTTTCCGCTGTGTAATCCTTCTTTAATACTGGGCGTTTCGTTACTTTTGCGGCTTTGAAAGCACCATTCCCTTTCACTCCCACTGAAGAAGCCAAAGGACCCGCCCATGCACTACCTTTCCATCCACACTTGGCTCTATGACAAATCCAAATTGCAGGTGTTCCGGGTTCTTCAGGAATAGTCACCGCCAAGGAAAGCTCCCCTGAGGAGCCGCCATCGCATTCCGGGCAAATTCCCCGCACCGTACCAGGACCATAAGATTTCAGCAGTATGCCCTTACTGATAAGCTGCTCCTTAACCGTCTTCGTCAACGCAGGAACTTCAGCCGTCGCCGCCGCCGCCGCCGCCGCCGCCGCCGCCGCTATCGTTGCGACATCGCGGAACGAAGACATACACGAGGGGAACGAAAGACGAGAGTCATAACGCAGCAAACCTCTTCCACTCCTCACCCATACATTGCGAAAGCGAGGCAGAAACCTCAACAGCAAAAAGGATTTGCAACCCGGCAGCTTCCATGGCGACACAAAGGTTCGTGCCTCATAAGAACACCGCACAAGCGGCACTGACAACCGCAACACACCTCGCACTTGATAGCATCCCGCAGGCACCGCCACATGCCCTCCAAATGCCATATCCCCCCTGAAGTACCACCCTCCAATTCCCAATTGTCACCTCCACCTTCTCTTCTTCTAATTCCAACGACAGCTGCAATTCTCGTGTCCGTCGAACCTTGATGTGTCCATCTCACGCCCTCGAGTGCTCTCATACTCTGCCTGTTCTTGCACCTAAACACCTGCTGCCACCACTGCCAACGCCCATTCCACTCTGCAAAACTCTCTTGCTCGAAACCCCTACCTACCTCAATCCTTGCGAGGAACGCATCTCCCTTCTCTACCTTCCTTCACCCACCACTTGTTCCACAAACTCTCTTCGAAATTCAACGATGCTCGCGTCGTCCAGGCGCTCAATCCTCGTCCCTCCCAGGTTCCTCCGGCACCACGACCCTAAGCCTCAGTCAGAGATGAGAGCAGAGCAAGGGGAGGGGGAGGAAGAAGAAGAATCATCAAACCAAGAGGAGCGAAACGGAGCTCAGCATGGAAAGGAAAGGGAAGGAATGCACAGAGCGGGGAAGCACAGTAGTGATGGTGAGAGTGAGTGAGAGCGCAGGGTTTGGCACTCTAAACCCTAAATCATGGCTCAGCAGCACCAGCAGCACTAGGGCCATCAAAAAGTAGAGCAGAGGTAGATGCCTTCTCGCCCACGCCCTCCCACGCCCTCTTCGGTTGTTGTCCCCTCTTACTTTTCTTTCCTCTTAGTTTTTCTGGTGGACTCAAAGCATTTTTGTATGCCTTGATCTGGCTAATTAGTGTTTGTGTTGTTGTTGAATTATATTCCTAAATTTTTCATCACTTCTGCTTAAATCATTAATAAACTACCATTAATAACATGGTATGTTTGCATGTAATAATATGAATTAATATTTTGTAGTAAAACTAAAATATTTAAATAAATGAGTAAATGATCTTTGATATTTTTTTAAACTGTAGAATATCTATTGCTAAGCTGGTGTTTTTGTTTTTAAATTCTGAAAAATATACTAGCTATCAAAATGCTGTCATGGTCAAATTAGCACAAACGAAGTATGTCACAATAGAAATACATGAGTTGGTGGTTAGGATGCCATAGCTAAGCTTTATGTCACAACATTCATTAAATATTATTTTTGTAAGAAATACAAACTTTGAAGTTTATAAATAACCTCTTTATTGACATCTACCAATTGCATAATTGCTAATAATTTTTTTACATTTAATTAAATTTAATTATTATTAATATGTTTTAAATAATTTTGGTATTTATTAAAGAATGGTGTGTTGTGAATCTAGTCTAGTACCTCAAGAATCTTGATTTCAAAACAGTTTTAAATTTTTTTGCAAGATAGTTAGTTGATGCATTAGTTATGATTCTTAGGAAGAAAGAACATAAAAAGAAAAAAAAAAATAATGTAGAAGAACATGCCAACTACAAGAATAGTAAAGAAAAATCAGTGGAATTTAATGAAAATAAATCTCTCTCTCTCTCACTATATATATATATTTATATTTATGTATATTAATTTATTTTTATGTAATAATAAAACACTATATACAATAAGAAAAAAGCATAATATTATTAACTATGATTTTTTTTGAAGAATGAGTAGGAAATTGGTAGATAGAAGAAATAGAATAGAGAAATTCATGTCTATATTAGGCTCTGTAATTTTAATTAATTTTTTTGGAAGTACTCAAAGAAAAACTATATTCTCATAATGGTAATATATTAGTTCATAGAGTTATGGTATAAATTAAATTAAGTGGAAAAAAATGAAGAGTTATAGTAAAGATTATAGATGGAGTATTCATCCTTTTTGTAAAAAAGAAGGATGTAAATATAATAAAATTGTTTGTTGACTATTAATCATTAACTACAACAAAAAATTGTGTTGATTTTTTTTTATAGAAAAGACTGATTGCATTTTTGACCAAAATATATAATGCTAAATACAATCTATTATGTATAAATAAATAAAAAAACTCGACAATACAAAATAATTTATTAAATTTATGTATTAGTAACATATATATATATATATATGTAATTTTTCATGAATTAATTTTTTTTTAATCACTATTATATTAAGACAAGTAAAATTTTTTTATTCATTCAAATACTGTAAGTTTCATTTTTTTTGACGTTGAACCAAATTTATCTACCGAAGAATCTCAATGGCAAGTTTTATTTTTTGTTTATTTCTATTATGAATCAAAATATTAAAAATAAAAAATCCAATAATTCATGATTTTTCCAATCAGACACATCTGATTAATATGTAATTATTTACCTGAAAAATTATAAAAATCTTAAGAAATTTTATTAAATAGACTTCTGTCTTGGAGAAAGTTGTAAAATATTAAACAATAGTGACACAAAAAAATAATTAAATGTCCTTATATATATTATAAGATAGTATTTTGTTTAATAAAAGTAGAATATGTATCCGAGCTGATTATTATTAAAGAAGAATTATACTTTGTACAATATATATTTTCTTTTGCCTGGAAAAAATTAAATAAGAAACTATTAGGTTTTTCGAAGATATTCTTTAGCAAAGTAAATTTTCCAGATACAATGTATTTATATAATGATTTTTTTTTTATTTCATTACAAAAATAAAAATAAAAATCATAATTACCAATATTTCTTATTATTCATTTTAAACCTTAAAAATTTACAAGTAATGATTTTCTTATGGATTTGACAATGAATCAAAGTGATTAGATGTTGTTTTTGTGGTTGTTGTTCAATCTATTAAAAAATTCCATGACTATTTTATTTACTTCAGAGTAAATGCATCTAAAGTACATGTATTATTTTACAAACAAGTATAGTTTTTACATGATTGCTAAAATGTTCAAACAATAATTGTGATGTCCAATCTGTAAGTCATTTCTAGCAATACTTGTTTCAAATTGAGGATATCACATTTGATATAAGTATTGATTTTTTCTCAAACAAATAGATGAAAAAAATAAGTTTTTTTTAATATAATTAGAACAAGTTATACTAGGATATGAGGTTTTTGATTAAGATGGTAGGATCAAAACTCTTCTAATAGAAAAAACATTTATAATCACTTTATAGATTTATTTTTTTTAAAATATTTATATATATATTTTTTAAAAAAATTATTTAAATTATAAATAAATAAAAGTTTAAAAAAATTCATTACAATATATATCAATATATTATTTTATATTAATTAAAACTTTATAAATTTGTGATTTCCCATTCATAAATTTTTATAGTTTCATTTTTGGAATTTTGAGCACTTATTGCTACAAATCATATTTTAATGTATTATTTGATACTAAGAAAATATGAACTCTAAATTTTAATTTATTTTAGTTCTAATTTATTTAATTATGTCATTGATTTTAGTTTTTTTTAAAATTATTTTAAAGTTCTTTTTTAAAATATTAATGATATTAAAATTTATTTTTATTTTACAACATATTATTTTAGTATCTTGTATTGTAATTTTAATTATTCTATAAAAAATTTAAAATTTTAATAAATATGTAGTTTCATTCTCTAAACTTTGGTAAGACTTCTTAGAACAATATCAAACCTTAGTCTTAAGTTTTGTGCTTCTATTATCAATCAATATGATTTATCAACATATCTAAAAATAATAGAAGATACTTGAATAAAAGTATCAATCTATAAAAAGATTCTAAGAAGATCCAAAATATATACTTTATATTTTATGAACAATATTTTGATATTGTTGTAATACTAATTAAAAAAATTAATGACATAATAAAAAATCTAAGCTAAATAAATTTATGAATTAAATTTGATCAACTTTAAAATTTTGTTATCCAAAAATTACAAGTCAATTGCTTACATTATATGTATATATATATATCTATATATAAAAATTAAATGATATAAATTACTTAATTTTTTTAATAATTCTATAAGAATCATTGTATAATTTATTAAATTTTGATTTGTTTATAATTTTATAAAAAAAATAGATAAATTTATAATTTATATAATATAAATTTTTTATAATTTTTTATATTTAGAGAATTTTCAATTCTATCCTAAAATATCTAAAAATATATTGTAACATAATTAAATGAGTATAGTTTAGTAAGAAAAAACTTTATACTTCAATTAAACTTGAATCTTCATTTCATATAAGCAAAAAATGATTTTAATATATTTTCGATGATTTTTTTTATTTTTTTAAAATATTATCCATATATTAAGAATTTTCAATGCAGATAAGTAGTGATTCTTAATGGTTGCATGGATGGATCTTTATTTTCATCAAAAAAGTTCATCTTTTTTAGAATTCACATGTTTTACAAAGTTCATAGGCCATTTTATAGCTTGGTTTACAAAGCTTTGCATCAAAATGTGAGTACCTTCATAAACTCATTTAGTCTTTGTTTTTATCAAAAAAGTTTATATTACATGGATATAGAATATGGCTCTCATTCACTATATGTATCCCTCTTTGTTTTCATTAAAAAACATAATGTTGTCAAGAGTTCACTTGGCATTTTACCATTGATCATAAGAAATTCACAAGGTATTTTACGTTGGCTTGGATTATATGTGACAACATGAGAGTAGCATGAAGATGATTAAACAAGACAATGACAATGTTCACTATGTATAAGAAACTTTATAGTTTCTCATTGTTATTCTAAGTTCTTAGATTCATTATTGTATCATGGACATATACATTTACGTCAATAATTACTTATATGATTAGGTAGAAGTAGGTAAATATAGATTAATTTCATAAAGTCTTTTAGTGAAGCTTCCTAAAAGCTTCAAAGATGCAATTTTGTCTTTTGATGTATTTGTAGGTTGAAAATTTAGCCAACATCTTAACTACGTGTTGGTAGCTTGTGGAACAAGTTAACTCTACATAGTAGCTTGTGGAATAAGCTAACTATGTGGTGTATACATAAATAACTTGCCTTGCAAGTCAAGATATGTGGCTAGCAAAGTCAACATGTTTTGGAGGTCTTACAGGACATCGCCATGTAGCTCCTAGTTAAGAGTATATATGGAGGCAAGAGTGAAGCTTTTTTCACTCTTGTGAATGCCGTTCTAGTCCTTAGTCTTGTTTCAAGACTTTCTAGACTTCTTGTTTTTGGCAATAGCCATTCTACTTAATATTACATTACTTTTTGAGTGATTTTTTAGTTTTCTTCAGTGACACAAGAGTGTATTAAGGATTCTCTTTCTTTGAGATTTATGTCCCTAACAATTTGACAAGAATGCTAATATATTATTTTTGTCTTGTTTTAGAAGTGAGTAGATTATCCCATTTCTATTATTGTATTTTGAAGGGTACCAACTATCCACATTTTAAACAAAAAAAATCTTATTTTCTAATACTAATCTTTCTTTAAAGAGAGTGGATTACTTTTCTTTGTAAAAATTTTTATTAGAAGTTGCGGATTACTTTCTTCTAATTTAACTTTTTGGATTTCTTTGAGTTGCTTACAGAAAGAAAGATTATGGATGCTATACCTAGCGAAAGTGAGAATAGATTTGCAATTATTACAGATCTTCATGATCTTATCCACACTCTAGAATAAAAAATCTCATGTATTTTTAACTTGAATTATAGAAGTACTA